ATCTTTAATTATAAAAATCAATTTTATATTTATATTTTATTTAATAGTTTTATTATTTCAAATTGCCATTTTATAAGAGATTTGATTGAATACTCAAATTGAAGTGTGATATTTCATTTTTATTTTTTGATAATTAAAAAAAAATGACTGAAATTAATGATTAAATATTATAAATTTTTTTTTTATTTTCTTCTATTTTATCTTAGCCTTTTAATAAAAAATTAATATGCTAATGCCAGCATCATATAAAAGAAATTGAGATAGTTTTTGAAAAAACTGTTTTGTCCCTAGAAAAAATTTCAGGCTTTGCCACCACTTAATATTATAAAATATTTAAATCACCTAATAAAGTGAAATTAGCTAATGATATTATTTTAAAAAATATTTGAATATATTATAATTAAAAAAAAAATAAAATTTTGAATTTTTCATTCACCTTTTTTGTTATTATCAAATAATTTATTTCTCATAATAATTATAGATTTATTGAGAAAACTTTCAATATCTACATTAATTTTCTATTTCAAAATTAATCATTTAAAGGAAAAAGAAACGCCTGAAAATTAATTAAGTTTATTTATTTTTTAAATGAAAACAATGTATTTCAAAATATGTGAGTTTTTATATAAATTACTGTCCAATGAGAGGCGTCGCTTGACAATAGCTAGTGATGATCCATAGTAGTCGGGAGATTCGGTGAAGATTGACGGCAACCAAGCTATGAATTTAGAATCCGCCCCAAAATCATTAAATTCCAAATGCAAACAAGATAAATAATGAATGAATTCTGGAGACATTCTTATTTTGCACAGCATTTGAATTTCTTCTTACCAAACATCTAAATTTTCAAAACCTCCATAAAAATAGTACATTTTTGTAGCTGTTCAAACAACACCCTTAGATCAGACACGGCATACATCCCTATGAAGTAATTTCTTCCGCAATTCAGGATATAACCATTTCCTATAGATGTGATTTACATTTAATTGAGCAGGGTATTATATAATTTTGTTAGAAAAAAAGGTGACACGTGTCACGTAGGAATTGGAGGGTTATGATCTCCAGCCCATGGGCGGTATGTGGGGTTAGATGTTATCGCCATATTCCCATGCAGACTCATCCGCGTACGACTCTCTAGAGCACTGCCGTTCATCCCAGCAGCCCAAAAGACATCAGCCGTTCATTTGGCTTCAACGTCGCTTTTTCATGCTGGCTATAAATTACGAATCTTCGTGTACGGAAAACGACATTGTTTTAAATCATTTTAGTTTGATTTGGAGTTTAATATGAGCTTAGGATCGTTAATTTAATATTTACGATTAAATTGAATTAAATCTCTAAGGAAAATGACATTGCGGATTGTTTCCCTAGATACATTTAAGGATTTGAAATTATTCTTGATTAAATTAATTATCACTTAAAAATATTCAATTATAACCTTTTGTCGAGGATTAATGTGTACTTTATACTATTCTATACTAAAATCATTAATGTATGAGCCGCTTCACCAAATTCTTGCAACATCTCTCGCTCTCTCTCTTAGGTATGGCTCATATACCATAAATGAGATGGATGCTGGAGCGGAGCGGAGCCCACGAGCGGAGTGGAGCGGAAGGATCTGTCCAATCGGGGGAGTTTCATTATGTGGGTTGGGGGTGCGGGGGTGACACCCTGCGGTTTGGAACATGAGTAATTTAAGTAATTACATATTGTACTATAGGGTTATTTATATGTCCTATTTGTAACCCTAGGTGAGGGAGATTCTAAGATTTTGTATCATATATTCTGTTTCTTGTACTCTTTTCTGAATATTTAAAAGAAAGTCAGCGTTCTGCATCAGAGGATGTGGGCATCTTTCTCAAACCTCATAAATCTTTGTGTGTTCTTCTGGATATGTGTCAATTCTCATTTTTCTTTGGCCTAATTTATATGAAACATCGCTCTCTCTTTCTTCGGTGTGTGTGTGGTGTGTGTGTGTGTGTGTATATATCTATATACATATTATTCCGCACAGATATTCCGGAAAAGATGTTGTTCGAGTTAATTTTCTTATTGATAACATTCAACATAATACAATTTAAATATATACAAGAATATTAATATGATTTGCCTTCGGAAATAGAAATTTCTTAAATAACTTTTAAGGGAATGAAATATTTTAAATGACTAAAAGCTTGGAATGGAACTCAACCTCACCAAATTTGGAAATGCCATGGGACTGATTGCTAAATTTATTTATGAAAGATTTACATACAAATCACTCAATTCCTATGTATTTATATATCTAACACCTACATTTTAATTTTTACATAAGATAAGCATGAAACCTTCATTTTAATTTAGGTGTTATGTTAGGCATGCAAATACATACTAATTGGTATTATGTATGTAAATGCACCTTCATGCATATAAATTCTAATCTTAATCGTTTAATCAAAGAAATAGCTTTCTACTTTCTGATATTTTCATTTCAAATGGCATAAGAAATAGAAAATATTTCATTAAAAGCTAAAAATTAGAAGGAAAGAAAAACGGAAGCCACAGCTTCGAAATGCTGCATGAGATCCCACTGTTCAATTATGGGGCCTCAATGCATTTGTCCAGTTCGATATTTTATGAGGCATTGGAACATGGGAAAATATCCAGGTTGCTTTCCAACGATCAACAAACAAAACAATGCATCAGAGCATGTGGAGTTCAAATTTGCTTTGTTTATTAAGGAAAATGGAGAGATTGTGACGTCCAAATGGAATAGATTCCATCTTCTTTGTAATCGGGAAAAATGAAAAAAAAATGTCCAAAATAATCAGACAGTTCTCTATCATCTTTATCATCATCAAAAAAGTCTAACTCATATATTCTCCAAAACAAAAAAAGAAGAAGTAAAAGTATTATATAAGAGGATTACAACATAGGTAATAAGAATGAAGTTATTTTAATGTTGATTTCTTCTTATAACTTTTCAAAATTTAAAGGCTAAGTAATGATACTTATGAAATTTACTAAGGGATTGTTGGGTCGGTATAAACTTTAGTGCAATGTCAAATAAATATAATGCATGAGTAATATATTGTATTTGAAATATTTTGAAATTGTTTGGTTCATTATGAAACAAATAGACAGCTTTAGTTTTATTTTATTTATTTAGTTTGAAGTGAAATGAAAACAATGTATTTCAATGTAAAAGTTATTACGTTAGCTTAGCGGCGGGGCAGATGGGTGGTGTGGCCAGCTTCATGAATGCAATACACTGGTAATCCTTAAATGCATCTTAGTTTTTTTTAGGGTTTAGTTAGATAAAGCAAATGCTAATTATTGTTTTGATAGTTTTTTTTTTATGTGCGATAAAAGTGTAGTAGGAGCCACCGAAAGTTACAAGCAATAAGAGTTGCCTTCACAAATGATTAATCATCTTGAAATAAATATACGATTTTGACAACATAATACATATGATAAATAAACTATATGGTTTGAAGTTGCTTGGCTGTAAAAAATTTGAATTCATGTGTACTTTAATTATAGAATAAAATCAAATCAATGAATTTGATTTTTTTTTCTTTTATATTTTGTTGGTCGCAAAATTCAGAAGATTATTTTAGATGTTGTTTGGATTGCTAAAATATGCTTTAATTATTTTTCTATGTTTTATGTTATTTTTATTTTTAGCTACAAATATTTGGGAATTATTGGAAAGGTGGTAGGTTTATTGCTGATAACAAATATAGTCATGGATCTAACATAGGTTTGTCTAATATCAATCGTCGTGAGGTTATCATATGTGACAGTTGCATGTGTAGTTACCCAGAAAGTATTAGATGCGTGCAGCACACCTATGAACAATGAATAATAGGTAAGAGAGTGTGCTCGTCAGTTATTTGTTGTATGTAGATGCGTTGCATGTACGTAATATTTTATCATAGTTACGATGAGAGATGGGAGTTGGGAGAAAAAGTTTTTTTTAAAGAACTGCGGAGGGAATTTTATTAATTCAAAACAAAGAGTACAAAGTTTGGTAGGAGGATCACCATTACACATAAAATACAACACACGTAAACAATGAGGGTACTACTCACACAAAAGAGTTCAAAAAAAAAATAAAACACACTAAAAAGAAGCACTCGGAGCTACCAAAATCGAAGAAAAACCAACACGAATCTACAAGAAGCTAAGGTAAAAGTGCAAGAAGAACTAGCAAGAACATGCAAGAAGCTAAAACAGAGCAGAAACACCCAAACGAGGAATAACCATGAGAAGCTAGAAGCCAAAGTAAAGGAAGTGGTAAAATAAGATGAATAAAATACAACAGAGAGAATGAGAACATAAGGGTAAAAAAAAACAAATCTGAACCCAACTTGTTGAATCAAAGTAAGCGAAGAAAGAACAAATAGTA